ACACAGCGGGCTCAGGGAGAGCGGCGACACGGGCGTGGGCGGGACGCCGCCGAGCCGGGGGGCAGCCAGGCTGCGGTGAGCGGGGCGGCACTCACGTAGCACACGGCAGCCAGCTCCTGCCGGGTGTAGGCCTTCTCCACCAGGCCCTGGGCCTTGGCCGGGCTGACACCATGGTCATAAACTGTAAACTTGGTCCCCATGAGGTTGGACCTAGAATCAGGAGAAAACGTCACCATGATGACCTGTATTTTTTTCTTACACAAACACAACCTGGGGAAGGTGAAGCCTCTGCCCATCCTTCAAAGGTCTAAATGGTCACCATCACCTTTTCAAAGATCTATCATTAAAACAAGGAAGGCCCTTATATCTCCTTCCAGCTCCCTGTTAGATGACAGCAGCACGCGCTCAGCTGTGAACGCTGTGAGGCTGTTCTGAAACCACAGGCACCGCAGTGCCAAGAAGGACGGGCGGGCCACCGGTACCTGAGTTTGCCGACGTAACTCTCCCCCTCACGGGACAAATCTGTTGGGTCAGTGGAGATCAGGTAGTTGGATGTTTTGCTCTTTTTCCGCTTTCTACCTGCAAGAAGAAATATCTAAAAAAGAAAAACATTTCAGTAAAAAGTGAACCTGAGGATGGCCATGTCTGTCGCACCTCTTCAGCTGGCAAGTATTCATCACGTGCCATCATGCACCAAGTAGCCAATCTCTGGGCCTTTCTGTGACGGGGAGATTTGACAGAGCTGGCAGGTGAGCAGCCGGAGGTCCTGGGATGGCATCAGAGGTGGCCTCAGCAGAGCTGCCCAGGGTGGCCGTGCGGCCCTGGCCAAGGCATAGCTGTTGTCCCTGCCGGTCAACAGCAGTGGCCTCTTGGGCACAGGGGCTGAGATGATGCCAGGGCCCAGGGGACAGGGATGAGAGGCACCAGCCCAGAGCTGCAGCAGCCGGTCACCTTGCAGGGATAGCATCGGATTTGCCGACCCTGCTCCCCCAGTTGCCTCACCGCACGAGGACTGTGGAGAACTTGGCCTGAACAGTGGCCTCATGGGTGGCGGTGGCTGCCTCCCTGGGGCATCTAACACCCAGACCTGCAATGTCCACTGTAACCTGGAGTGGCAGGCAGGGGGAAGAGATGCATCTCCTCCAGAGGCAACCAGGTGACCCAGCTGGGTGAGGGGTGTCCACTCTGTCCTTGCCTTGTCTCCGTGAGCTCTGGGTTCTTGGCCTCCAGATGTGGCTGTGGGAGCCACCATGGCCTGCCATCCCTGGGCCCCCGGGGGCCTCCACGCCTTGTCATGGGACCAGTATATCTGCCACTCAGGGTTTCTCAAAGCCCGGTCTCGGGTCCTTATCCCTTTTTCTAACCCTCATCATGCTTCTCAGAATTCACTACCAGGGTTTCCCTACTGCACAACTTCTCTAAATTCACCAGCTTGATTCTCCATATAAGAATTTACAACGTTATCCGTAGAAGTGACTTTTTGAAGAAGCTTCATCCAGTTCCACAAGTAAGAGTCTGTCCACCTCTGGGAGAGGCGGGGCCCTGGGCACCAGGCTTTCCGCCCCACACTGCAGCTGCGTTCCTGGTGCTGCCTTCTGTATTTTGAGTGTTGTGGTTCTAAACTCTTATGACTTCAGTGCTATGAATACTGTCACATTCATGCATCCTTCCCAAACCCTTCTAGACTCGAAAATAACAGGGAAGCAGGAGGCGGCAGTAACTAAGTGGGGGGGGGAGCACTCTGGAATCCAACAGACAGAGGAGTTTAAACCTGGCTCTGCCACTTCGTACGGATCCGGGGCAGGTATGTCCTTCCTGAGCCCCAGTTACCTCGCCCATCAAGCAGGGATACGAACTCCTATCTGACTGGGTGTTGTAAGGATCCTAGGTGACAATATACATAAAGCATTTAACACACGCCTGGTACACTGTCAACACTCAACAAACAGTGGCTGTACCGACACCGGTATCTACTGTCACCATCTCATTTCTAGGCCCCTAAACCACCCACTTAGACCTGGTGTTAGGACAAAATACGTTGTCCATTAGCAAGTGTTAAGTTCCCTCCACTTCATGTATAAAGTAGATTCAAATTCCTAAGGTGAGAAGACATTTCACTTGCATATTTTCTCTATTTCCAATTCCTCTCGTTCCCTAAAACTCGCTCTTTCTTCCACAACATCATGTTCCACGGTGATAAAAATAAAAGCCGAAGAGCACACTGGAGCACTCCCGAGCCCAAAAAAGGGATGGACGCAAAAGCAGTTACATCCAAATATTCTCTTCCGTCTTCTCACGTTCTGGATAAACCTTTCTCTTTGGGGCGGGGACAGAGTTTGACTATTAGACCGTGAGCTCCTCGGAGACGCTGAGGGATGAACAAGCACAGGCCAGTGCCTGCCGTCCTGGTCTAAGGCTGCTGCTGCTCCCGTCGCAAGACCATCCACAAGCCATCCCACAGCACCCTCCCTCCATCCCAAGATCGTCTTAAGAACCACCTCCCATACCTTTCGATTTTCGTCCTTTTCCAAGTGCATATAATAGGTGGGGAAGAGACCGCGATCCACTCCTTTCTTGTCCCTGGTTATCCGACACTTCACTGTGATGCCTCGAGGGGCAGGACTGTAGGCAAAGTCCTCTAAACTCTCTATTTCTCCCAGCTGGCTATCAGTTTGCTGGGCTGCAGCTCCGGAAGCCCCTGTGTCCTGAAAGAGCAGTCACAGGTGAGCGGCAGGAAGCTGCGTCAGAACGCCTCGTGCCCCCCTGGAGGAACGCTTACAGGACAGAACACCTTACTGAGTCACCGTCTGACAGAACATGGAAAACCTAAGCCGTTAAACAAGGACATGAACAGGGGAGCAAGGAGGGAGCGAAGCACAAACGGGGTACAGCTTCCCAGCAGCTGGCTCGGGACGCAAGAAATCAGGGAGTCACGGCCTTTAAGTGTAAACCCCAGCTTGCGTCTCGGAAGCAGCCCTCACTCAGTAATGGCACCTGAATACCGAAGGCATGTTTAGGAAACAGTTAAATCAGCTCCACGGGAAGACGGCTCACAAGTGCGTACCGCGGCTGGCTTCTGGCTGGACGCAGAACTGGGTCTCTCTGTCTCTGAATTTGGCGAATGAGACCTCAGTTTCTTCCCTTCCTCCTCCTCCCCATCAGTCTCCTCTTCATCAAAGTTCAAGCTACCTGAGATGCCTGGCAGAAAAGGAGAAACTGTCAAAAGGGCTAGAAATCTTTGAACCAAATGTAACTTTACTTTTCTTCCTTAAAACATTCCAAGCTATTCGGACTTAAAACGTGGCTATTTTATCCACGTTCTGACAATTCTTTCTTCATATTCTCACCTAGATCCATCCCGCTTTCCTTCCCTGATGTTGCCACCCTAATTTAGATCTTTGAAACATTATGTTTATGAGAGAAAATATTTGCAAATCATGTATCTGATAAAGGATTAATATCCAGAAAATACAAAGAACTCCTACAACTCAACAAGAAAACAAACTCGAATTCAAAAACTGGTAAAGGACTTGAATAGACATTTTTCCAAAGAAGATAACATAAATGGCCAACAGACACATGAAAAGATGCTCAGTACCATGGATCACTGGGGAAATGCAAATTAGAATCACAGTGACATGCCACTTCACAAGCATCTGGATGACTATTTAAAAAAACCTAGAAAGTAAGTGTGGTGAGGATGCGGAGACACTGGAAGGAACCCTTGTGCACTGCTGCTGGCAGTGTACAATTGTGCAGTCACTGTGTAAATACAGTGGTCCCTGAAAAAAATAAACAAACATAAAATTACCATATGATCCAGCCATTCCACTTCTGGGTATACACCCAAAAGGACTGAAAGCAGAGATTCAAACAAATACTTATACAACCAGTGTTCATAGCAGCATTATTCACAATTTTCAAAAGGTGGAAACCACCCAAATATCCATCTGCTGCTGAAGAGATAAACTGTGGTGTAAACATACGGTGGGACGTTACTCAGCCTTAGAAAGGAATGAAACCCTGACACATGCTACAACATGAATGACTCCTGTGGATGTCACACTAAGCGAAATAAGCCAGGCACAGAAGGACAAACACCGCATGATTCCACTTCCCCGAGGTGCCCAGAACAGGCAAATTCATGGAGACCGGGAGCGGCATGGAGGCTGCCGGAGGCTGCCAGGGGCAGGGGGAGGAGAGATGGGGAGTCAGTATTTAACGGAGACAGAGTTTCAGTTTGGGAGGATGAAAAAGTTTCGGAGACGGGACAGTGATGATGGCTGCACAGCAGTGTGAATGTACTTAACGCCACTGAGCTGTACACTTAAAGACGGTTAAGATGGTAAATATTATGCATGTTTTACCGCTGTTCTATCAGTTACGTTTCTGTCTTCCCACGTTGTTTATCGTTAGTCTAGTTACCTAGTTGGTGTTGGAAATGTCTGAAACACTACTACCTTGGATTTATGAAGAATCTCTTACAGAAAATTTCAAACTATCTGATTAAAAACTATTTTTTTCATTTTATCCTCACATTTATATGAGTTTGAGGAGGAGGTACCAGTAAATCTTATTTTTTGTTTTGTCTCCTGTTTCTGGAACCACCGGGAGAGGAACAAAGACGCAGAATAAAGTGCGATGTGTTATAAGCCAGCACAGCACTCAGGGTAACACAGGAGTGCGGGGCTCTGGGAGAACTGACTCTCCAGCAGAAAGGCAGAGCCACGACTGAAACTCAGCTCCCCTTTCTCCTCGGTCTACAGGGTGGAGTTACCCTCACACAGCACCTGCAACAGCCCAAGCCGTAAACTGACAAGGAGACTTAACAGTAAGCAGGGCCCATATCCAGCCATCTCAGAGGAGGAACTACTGTGACCTACTTTTACACAGTTCTCAAATAAACGGCATTCGTTTTTCTCAAGGATACCCAAGGACAAGACAAACGCCAGTTAAAAATTAGTCTCAAGGGCAAACATACGCCCACGCAACAACTTACACACAAATATTCACAGCAGCAGCATCCCCATGGCCAGAAGGGGAGGCAACCCAAATGCCCATCGGCTGATGGCGAGAGAAACAAAACGCGGCTCGCCCACATGGCGGAACGCCGTTCAGCAGCAGAAAGGCAGGCAATGCTCACACAGGCCACAACGTGGGTGCCCCCTGGCAGCACTCCGCTCAGTGGCAGCCAGTCATCAAGGACCACACAGTGTGAGATCCTGCTCTTATGAAACCCCAGGACAGGGAAGTCCGCAGAGACAGAAAGAAGACAGCTGGCCGCCGCCGAGGGACAGGGTGGGAGGGAAACGGGAAGTCACTGCTGGCAGGAGCGAAGTTCCGTTCTGGGCTCAGGGAAGCGTTCTGAAGCTGACTGTGACGATGGCTGCAGACCCCAGCGGATACACTAGAAAGCCAAGCATCTGCTCACTTTACATGGGTAACTGTAGACATGTGAATCACAGCTCAGTAGTTGTCACTAAAAACTTCTCTGATCTGTGAAGGACATTTCTTTCTTTTTTGTTTCCTAAAAGGTTAACTTTTTGTGGCAAAAGGGCATAGAAGTCTTGGGGTCTCACTTGCTATGTACCTTCACTTAGTGTCTGTTTTCAAATGCCACTTCCACGCCAAGAACTCAGTCTATGTGAATACACGTCTTAAGATGGAGATCAAGAGTTTCTCCCGACCCTTTAAGACAAGCAAGCTGGATCCCCACTGAAGGAACATAACCTTCCAAACTGACACATCTTAAGCATTAATCAAGTAAGCACTTAATGGGTTTTATGGTTAAGATGCAACTTTTTAAAATTCCTTTTTTTGGGGGGGGGATTAGGTATTCATTCATTCATTCACTCATTCCTTTGTTGAGACACTGGGGATTGAACCCAGGACCCCAAGGAAGGCCAGGCACACACTCCACCAGTGAGCTACGTCCTCTCCCCTCATGATGCAACTTGTTGAGACTCAAAAAGGCACTAATCTCTCTGGTCCTGAAAGGCCAATTCTGAGAAAGAACACAGCAGTCACTCGACAGGGCAGACGGGAGACAGCCTGCATGTCCAGTGAGGGATAAAGAACTAGACTGAGAATCAGAGGGTTTACGTCTGCCGCTCCAGCTCGAGGGCCTGGGTAAGAACTGGGGGTTCTCTCTGCCCTGCTCCTCCGCTTCGTTACAATGATCGTGGTGGGAAAGTGAGAGAATCACCACCATCACACTCATATTAGAGACAGGGAAACTGAGGCAGAGAAACGGGCTGATTTCCCTCTCTCCCGGCCAGATGTGCCGAGCTGCGATGCGAACCCGTGCCGCCGGCTCCAGAGCCGTGCTCTAACCGGGTCACATGCTGCCCCCGCCGCACCTGCACTCTGGCCACCTGCCCGCTGGCACAAGCGTACCGTGCCTTCTATACCTGATGCCCCTGCAGTCGTAATTTCTTCTGCCCAGGTCTGCCACCTAACTAACCAGCAGTGTGATCTAGGACAAATTACCTAGCATCTCTGAGAACCAATTTGCTTACATGTAAAATGGAGCGGCCAGTGTGTATAAACCCGACAGCACTGGCACAAATGCTGTGACAAGTGCGTCAGAGGCCTGGCACACGACGCACACTCCCAGGGTCCCTGTCCTGCTGCTCCTGAGCCGACAGCACGCACAGCAGGGCACACGCCGTCGGGGCTCAGCCTCACCACCCTCCCTCTGTGTCCTTCCCGCCCCTTCTCACGGGCCCACAGGGGATTCTCCCCCTCCCGCTTCCTCCTCTGGCACACACCACACTGACCAGGGCTCAGGCCACCAGCCAGACCGTCTCCTCAACAGCTCTCCTGCTTCCACACCTGTCCGCCCCAGTTCATCCTTCCCAGCACAGAGGAGTCTCTATAGCCCAAATCTGCTGCCATCTTTCCAGCTACAAGCCCTCACGAGTTCCTGTCACTCTTCAGATGAAGTCCAAATCCCTAACACGCCGGTACCGTCCGTCCTGTGTAACCGGGGCCCCCGCACTCTCCCACCCCCTCGCCGTGCTCCCCGGGCCCCTCTGCCTGCGCCCGGCTCTGGCTCACACCCGGCCTTCTCCAGGTCAGCGCTGGGAAGGCGCCCGCTCCACACTCCCTGGCCGTTTACGCCCACGAAGCCTCGGTTAGAGGGCAAGCACCTTGCTCACCGCTGTGTTCTAGGCGCCCAGAACAAGGCCTGGCACGCAGCCTGTGTTCAGCACGTTTTCCGGGTGAGTGAACGTGCGAACCAGTCTGAATGCGCGTCCACTCCTCGGTCTGTGGCAGAACCCCGATTCCCACCCCCGGGGCCCGGCGGCGCCTACCACGAAGCAGGTACCCCCAGACGTGCAATTACTGGCCTTCAGGCTTCTCACCTGAAAGGGGGACACAAGTCCTTCCCACTGTAAAATGGGCTTCCTGAGAAGGGGGGACGACGGACCTGCGAAGCGTACAGGCACATTTACGGGACTGAGCTGGCTGCTGGCCTCTCCCCTGACACCAGAGGAGACAGACTGAAACGGAGGCAGGCAGGGCGCCAAGCGGCACCTGTGTCAAAGGGACAGGGTGCGGACGACAAAAATGACGTGTCAAAAAGAAGGACGTGGCCACCACAGTAGCCAGCGCTGCTGATACTTTACATTTTATTTAATTAACTTACTGTTCAAAACCGTCACCGAGCCTCACCGTGTTTCTGGAGAATCTCCTGAAGGTCAGGCTTGGAAGCAGGGCCCCAGGCGCGCTCCTCACCCACGCTCCCCTCAGGGTCCTCCTCCGCGGCAGAGGATCCCACTGACAGAACATGAGGCTTGCTGTCCAAGTCCTGAGCATCTGGCCTCAGGAAGGCAGCGGGACCGTCAATGCCTATGGGCCAGAAGAGAAGGAAAAAGAGGAACATGTCGCCCACCGCTTGGCTGGCGGTTCTGGTGTGTGTGATCGGAACCACGAGCCGCCACACCGCTTCATTCTCCTCCTCCCTCAACGTGCAGGAAGGAGGACACCTGTGAACAGAGTCACGCATCTGATTATCTGGTTCGTCAACACGCCCCGACGGCCACTAAGGTAAAATGTCCCCAGTACTGCACTCTGGACCTTAACAGCGAGACGGTGACAGCAGAGGAGATCCCCGAAGTCCAGATCCGGTCTGAGCCAGCAGCCGAGGGCGGGAGTTAGAGGTGCTTTACCCTCTTCTCCCTCCCCCGTCCCCATCTCAGATGACCCTCGGATCCAGCTACTGGGAGATGGGTGACCTCCACCTGCTCCTGGCTCCATGGGTAACTGCCATGAGGCGACAATCAAGCCTGGAAGCTCCTCAAATGGGCCATTCTGGACCAACCAATCTTGCATCAAAAAACAACGGTTCTAGGATGGATGTGAACTTAAAGGTATCCTCTACGGATCAGGCCGCTACTTTTACTCTAACCAAAGACCCTGACAGGATGTGATTATAAAGATTCGTGAAGGTACCAGTAACGACGCTAATGCTCCCCTTCGGTCCCCGTGAGAGTCTTCCTGCACCCCGGGTCTGTGCGAGCGGTGCTGCGGCGGGAAGAGGCGCGCCTGAATACACACCGTGCAGGACGACGCCGTTGTGCGGGGCCTGCGGCTCCACCAGGGGAGTGTGCTCCTCACTGCCCCTCGGCTTTGACCGGCGCAGCCGGGCTTCCGGGTTCGGCTGGACCATGAGCGGCTCCAGGCGCTTCTTCCTCTGCTTCTTCTCCAGCAACGCCCTCTAGGGAACAGTGTGTTACAGCCCGGAGGGCGAGCATGAGAGCCAGCTCTTCAAACACAGTTTCTCACGGATCCTTACAAAACCTCTTGTAAATTAGACTTTCCCACTTAAGATATAGGGAAATCGAGGCACAGAGAGGGTAAGGATTCATTCACTTCACTTAATACATATTTACTAAACACCTATAAAGATCTATTTACAATGATACAAATGCATTTTTAGCCAAGCCGATACCATGATCCAAGTCTACTAAAAATACATAGTAATTAACATATTTTTACGAAAGCACAATCACAAGTTTACAATATACAAACACACACGAGCAGGAGAAAAGGTGAAGAGACACAGTAACGGTGAGTTCCCCGGGTGGTAGAACAGGGGTTATTATTTTTCCTTTTTCTAGTTTTCTGTAGTTTCTAAATTTTCTTACTTCTGTAATTGGAAGGAAAAAAAAAACATTTTTTCCTCTAAACCCTAAAATATTTTCATGTTTTAATCAGCTGAAGAGCAGTAAGTTTTAATTTCTTGCTCAGTTTTACATAATCAGTAATCAAACAAATTAGGGCCAAGGGTAGAACAGGAAAGAAAGGCAGCGGGAACATTCCAATTATAAAGTAATCAACTCTACGGACACAAGTAAGATAAACAAGGTTGCAAGAAGAGTCAGGAAAAAGCATGAAAGACGAAGAGGAGAAAATCCACAAGAGGGAAAGGAAGGCACCAGCATGTGCGCACTACCTGTGAGCCTCGGCAAGGAAGACGTTGCAATCCACAGAGACCACTGTGGGTCTGGGACGTCTCAGCACAGAGGCGCGCCAAGCCCCAAGCTAAAAGTGAGCCATGACTTAAAAGCAAAGATACCACAACCTATGTATCTTAGGCAAGAAGCCACATACTGACTTTCTTCATTGACACTGCTTTTAAAAAGTGCCACTAAGAAGAGGAGCTGATCCAAGGGGTGAGACTGTTCAAGGAAAGGCAGTGTTTCTCCCCAGAACCGGGCTGATGAAAGCTTGCAGATAAATTCAGAAGACAAAAAATATTACTATTCTTTTTCACCCAACCTCGTATGTAAGGAAGAAGACTGGGGAGCTAAAATAATGTGCCGAATGGGTTATACTGTCAAGAATGAAGAGAAAGCTTAGAGCGAGTGGAAAGGAATAACTGGAGGTTCTGAGACTGTTCTGGGACCCAGGAATTACCGCGCACAGCGGGCCTCAGCGCACCAGGAACACAGAACACGCAGGCGGCCGTAATGAGTCCTCCCACAGAAACTGCTGCTGAGGGCCCAGCAACAAAGAAGTCCTGTGTGACGGACACGAAGTGACCTGCCTGCAGACACAGGAAGAACACAGACACGAGCACAGGCCCAGCTTACCCCACGGCCGCAGCTATCCAGCCTCAAATGGCCTCGGAACCGTGAAACAACCGACGGAACCAAACACAAGCTGCAGAATCCACTTTATTAACACATGTAAAGAAAAAAGAGTTCTACAGAAAAGGAGTATTCTGCTTGTGGTCCAGAAAAGGGCAGCCACAGTGCAAAAATGAGGCCGCCTGTCCTAGAAAGAGAGACAGTGACTCTGGAGAGCAGAGCACCTGCTTCCCGGGGAGCTCGCTCGCTCTGAGGATAGGAATCCATGGCCTGGACGAACTGCCCCTCGGGCCTCCCTCACTCTGTTTCCTCTGACTTCTGGCTTACCGCTCAGCCTGCTCATCTTCAGTTTAACTTCTCGAGCATCGTGTTCTCAGGAACGAGAATCGTGACCAGCCAGGAACACACACTGGAAGAGAGTTCTCACTGTAAGGGATCTGGGTGGACATTTCTCCAAAGAGAACGTTCAGATGGCCACTGTAATACTCGGCATCGTCAGCCACCAGGGAAATGCAAGTCAAGGCTACAATGAGCACCACTCACACCCATTGAGACGGCTCTAACCAGAGACGGCAACAGTGAGTGCTAGCAGGAACATGGAGAAACCGGGAGCCTCACACATCGCTGGTGGGTATGTAAAATGGTTCAGTGACTTTGGAAAACAGTCTGGCAGCTCCTTAAATGTTAAACATAGAGCTACTGTATGACCCAGCAACTCCACTCCTTTTCCCAAGGTGTATTAGGTAAACCTTGTCGTAATTATACTTGGGTATATTACCCAAGCAAAATGAAAACATTTCTGCACAAAAACTTGCACACAAATGTTCAGAGAAGCATCATTTGTAATGTGGAAACAACCCAAACGTCCATCAACTGATGAGTGGAGAAACAAAATGTGGCCTCTCCACAAAATGGAAAAGTACTCAACAGTCAAAAGGAATGAATTCTGATACATGCTACAACATGGGTGAGCCTTTTGCTAAGCCGAACAAGCCAGGCACAGAAGACTACATACTGCATGATTCCATTTACCCAAGATCTAAAAATCACCTGTACGCTTTAAAAGAGGCGCTATCGGTAGTTACATGTGAACTACATAGCTCACAAAAGCTGTTCAAAAATCTATTCAGGACAAAGACAGCCATGTGTAAGTTATCTGAAAATCTAGGATTTTTAAACATTACACTCTAAGGTTATACTATCAGAAAAACAGAACAGCCATGAGAGAAACAAATGTAATCAAATCAAGAATGCTGTAGTGGACGACGAAAGAATGCTTTAAAAGAAGGGGAACGGTCTCTGTGGGAATAAGGTGAGCAGAACTACAGAGCAAGATCCACCTTGTGTCTCTGGTACGAACGGTCCAAGGCAGGGAGCGTCCCGGTCGGAAGTCCCGCATTTCACTCCTCGGGCAGGTGTGCCCTCCCTCCAGCAGAGATGAATTAATTCTACCAACGCACAATGAGAACTACCACGAAGATCATTTTACAAACTCTATTTGCTCTGATTTCAAACTTACCAGGCAAACTCCCCACAGACTCTTCTAATGAAAATGTGATGACCTGCTGATTGTGGTACACAGTTCACTAGCAATTAATAAATTAATCCCCTGATTGAGATTCACCACTTACGATACTGGTTAGTATGAACCAATCCTCATGAGACTGATTAACTCTGGTTGCTCTCAACAAACTGCTGCTCATTCTACAAAGCTCAGGACCATGGGGACACTCCCACAGCAGAATTCCTAGGAGCTTAACGTACTGTCTGCGTCAGGTAGGGGTGGGGAGGCAGGTTCCCCAGCCTCCCCTCTGCCCCCGCTGACGCTCACTGTCACTGACGACAGTGCACTGTGTCCCTCGGGTCGGCCGACGTGCCTCCCCACAAGTCGCTGCCAGCCTACGAGGCCCAGGGTGAGCAACAACAGAGCCTTCCTCGGTGCACTCCATTCCAGCGACAACTTCCATTCTCTAAGACCCTTTCCAACAGTCTACTGTTTCATCCAGTCTGACCCCACTTTACAGATGAACTAGGGCCCACAGAGTCTGAGGATCTTACTTAAAATCACACAGCTAATTAAAGGCACAGGGAACCAAGGCTTCTGATCTGGGCCCAGTGTTCTGTTCGTCCCGTGGCGCTGCCTTTCTGGCTACAGGCCACCTGCACGCCCGCTGGCACTGGTGGAAAATTCCCGTACCCCGGCTGAGCAACCTCCTCCTACGCTGCGGCAGCACTTCAGGGCTCTGCCAGTATTCTCATGCGCCATTTAGCACCACAGTTTATACTTCACGATCACACTCACTGACTACCTCTGGAAAGACACACTGTAAGTCAGTGACAGCGCCTGATGAAGAACTGAGCCAAGTAGAAGGAGACTGCAGCTCAAACACCCTTCCGTATTATTTGAATTCTTACCATATGCTTTAATTGCCTATATAAAAACATACTTAAAAAATTTTTATACTGTAAAAAAAAAGGGCTTACAAAATCCCAACATTTACACCACATACCTACCACATGTAGCATTCTCATTGAAAAGAATAAAAATTGCAAAATAGTTGGGCCATCTTTTTAAAAAATCCAGGAAGTGTATCTATATACAAAACTCAAAAACTACAAAAAATGTAAAAGCTTATGTCTTACAGCACTACTTGGTAGATGACCGTGGATTTCATTTGATGTTAGTTTAGGGAAGTACCATTTAGCCTTATAAAAGTAAATCACATAAATATCCAAAATCTTGTGGTCACTTCTCCCTAAATACAGTTTGCTATGCAATGGACTGAAAAGCAAAGGTCTCATCAAAATTATTCACAATTATTCTGATCTTGGTGGGAGATAAATCTACATCTAATCAGAATTTTCCCCGTAAGTCCAGGAAGATTCATTTCTTTTCTATTTTTACTTGTTTTCTCAGCATAGAACTGTGTGTTTCGCACCCTCCCAGCAGCCACACAGAAGCGGGTGCAGAGCCCGTGCTGGGCCTCCACTGAGAGGCCACGCGCCCCACGGAGGGAGACGTGAGGCAGCCTCCTGTGACTGCTGAGACCTTTGCGGCCACTCCCTACCCTGCTGTGCAGCCCCAGATTTGCTTAAAATGTGCCCCAGTCTCCTTAAAGGACATCGTCAGCTGGAGGGAGGCTGCCGCTGGCACAGCAGCCTCACAGCGGTTTCGAGGAAGACTGTCTTTCCATGAGCCCGCTGCTGTTGGGTGCTTGGGCCAGGACACCCCCACCGAGGTCCCTCTGTGACCTGAGGAATCCCGAAGCCCATGACAAGCTAAGGGCCAGCCTGGCCTCCACCCTGGGAGGACATCTGGAGGCAGGCCTCTCCGAGAGCAGTGGGGCGGTGACCATCACCCAGGCCCAGGAAGCCGAGCCCAGCTGCGGGGGAGGGTGGCGGGCAGAGCAGGATCACACAACTGACTGAGGCGACTGCCACCACCTTGAAGCTGAGAGTCCCTGAAGACCAATGGGTCATGCTCCATCTGGGCACACGTGAGGCCGCCGGGCCCCACCACGTGGTGGCCTGAGGGGCAGTGGTCTCGGTGACAAGCCCCACAGAGGCACCACAGACACCTAGGACTGGAAAGTGGCCTGGGGGCCAGGCAGTCCTAGACACACCCCCAAGGAGACCTCGTAACTAGTCTGTGACGATTCCATCATTAAAGTAATTCACTAGGCTCCAAGTCCCGCCATGAAGGCCAACAGCAACGTAATGAAGCAAGACAAAATTGTAGAGGTATTTCTAGTCCCCACCACATCTAGACACTGATTACTAATGATGCCACATAGGCAGACTGGAGCTACAGAACTTCCTGAATTAGAAAACACTCACATGGAAGTAACACGTGCTGGGTACAGGTTCCAAACTGACTAGCCACAAGGATCACTGTATGCGCCAGCAGAGAACTGTTCATTCATTCCGTGCTGCACTCCAGTATTTGATGATGGCCTATTACGGGCCCAGCCCTGTGTGGGGAACATCTGACAGAACGGTCATCAACAGACCAAGCTCCTGGTCTCACGGAACTTAGTCTAACGGAGGAAATGAACACAATTCAAATCACTGCAAAAATAGTAATAATGACACAGAAAATTACTCTGTAGGCAACGGAGGCTTTTAAGCAGCACATTTGCAGATACGAATTTTTAAATAATTATATGAAATTACAGCGTAGAGAGGTGTTTAATAAGGCAGCAGGCCCCAATCACTACACAGAAACACAACGTTCACATTCTTCTAATTCGTACACAAGGGATTCTCAGTGACTGTGAATCCAACGCCAAGTTCGAGGCTCATGTCCTCAAAGCACTTTGGTGCTGCCACAGCCCAGAGCCTTGGCTCAGCAAGTACTAACCGCAGACACTGCTTACTGCCTCACGCCAGAGCCTTCTCCTTCCCGCCCTGCCCCCGACTCGGCCAAGGCTTCGGAGCCAAGAGCAGCGGCATCAGGGGCAGCACGCTGTCCACGTCTCCCGGAAGAGACCGCTCACCTGGTTATCCAGTTTCAGCTGCCGAAGCTTCGTGGTCGCATCCTCACAGGCACTGCTTAAAAAATAAGAAAAGACAGCATGTAAAGAGGAAATCCTTTCAAACTATGTCAATCTCAGCTTTCCCATGCATCTATCCTTCGGGCTGTTTGGAACCAATTAATTCTGCCCTGGGGGAAGCATCAGTTCCTAGATGGGGACCTGCCGTCCTAACACCACACTTACTCCACAGGGGACCTGAGGCTGAAATACCCAAAAAAGAAGAAAAAGATGTAGAACACAGGTCCCCATGCACGCAGGGATTTTTTTCTCTTTAAAATCACACACTGAGTACTCACTATATCTCAGACACAGTGATAAATATTTCAAATGTACTATTTTATTTATTCTTCAAAACAATGCTACGAATTAGGTACTATTCTTTTTCCCACTTTGAAGATGAAGAAACAGACCTGGAGAGCCACACATAAGGTTAAACAGCAGAAACAGACCTTAGCACCTCTTCCAGAGTCTGAATTTCAACTAAAAATAAAATATATTTTACTTTTCTTTTGGAGCAAATTCTGAGAGAGAGAAAATTAGACAGTGTAGTGCACCCTACTATGGCCACTGATTTCCTTAAGATTCAGCAAGTCATTTAATTTACTCTTCAAGTTTGCCATTAATAAAACATTATGCCAGTCATCATAGGAGACTTTAAGTGTGGATGAACAGATAAGATTTAATACCATCAGGAGACAGATTCACTTGATGGAAGAAATCAACAACAAAAATGGAACCAAATTACTGTCTTCAACTGATAAGCCAAACCCTTCGAAATGCTTTTAAACCATCTGAAGCATTTTATATTTCTGACAATTTCCTAATTTAAGATTTTGTGATTCTCAGCATTTTTAGAAAGAATAAAGGACAAAACAAGGCAGAAGTGGTTTCCAATTATGTGTATTATAAATTTTTACCAGGAGTTTATTGCCAGAAAGAAACTACAAACACAAGGCCTTATTTAAGAAGACAAACTCCACAGCTACAGAGAAGCATGGCTTTTTCTGCACTTGGGGTAAACACACCAAAAGCACCTTTCTATGCTTTAATGGCTGACCACGACATTTCTACATTTTGGGCAGTTTTATGCATTTTTATAATGCATAGCAACTTGGAATTTGTACACTATTCCAAGACTCTTCCTGCCTGCGCGAACCTGGAAGCACGTCTCATAACCCCTTAGACACAGACGCAGAAGCACATCCTGAGTCTGACAGTGCCCTCTATTAATTCTTTATAAACTTTATGTTTAAAAATAACAACAGCGAGTGTTAAATAAATCATCTCGTTTTTTCCCTAGCTCCAAAGAGGGACAAAAAGACGAACAGCAATGTCAGACGTGTTAAACCTTTCACCTTGACTCTGTGGCCCCCATCTGGGTGTGCAAATTAGTGACTGTTTAGGGCTGGGGAATGGAGTTGAGGGATGATAGCTACAAGGTATAAAGTAGCTTTGAGATGATGAAAATGTCCTAAAAATTGATCGTGGTGACGGCTGCACATCTTTGTAAATGTACCAATAAGCAAAACAAGCGTGCATACTTTAAATGGGTGAACTGCATGATGTATGAGCCGTATCTCATAAAGCTGTCATTAAAAAGGGAATACATGAATCCATACTGATTCTAAATAAATAAATACACAAAGAAATAAAAGTCACAACAAAGATTTTCTTTACAGAATAATGCCAGCTAAATAAATACAGAATGAATGATGAAACAGAACATCACCATTTTATAACTACCAGATTAATAACTGACTTTTGCAAGAGACATTGATGGATAATCACTGAGTGAAACAGGATATTCAGCACAATCTCAAGTATCTCCCCACATATTATATTAATTACAAAGAGGAAAAGGTAACTTGACAGTGAAGAAACCTGGCAGACGTCGCCTTAACCAAGTGACAGGCCACAGCAGCCACGGAAGGAGAGCCGACAGCAGGCTCCCCCGGCGTGAGGCCCTGGGGGAGCATGACACGATGTATGTGGCGGTCTGGCTGACAGCGTGTAGCCTGCATCTATTCAGGGGGAAATTCTGCAGGTCAGCTGTCCGGACTTTCCAAAAACATCAATATCAAGAAAGACCCTCCCCCCACAAAAAGGCTACAGAACTGTTCTAGGTTAAAATAGAAGAAATTAAAGAGATTTCTGGAAACCAAACATGGCACATAATCATTGAATTCTGAACCAAAACATACACACAGTAAAGACTATCCCAGGTGCACTGAGATGTGGCCGGGAGCTCCAGCTGAGAGAACTAAGGCAAGTGTCCCGTGCGAGGTAACAGCACTGTGGTCACGCAGGAGGGTGCCCTTCCGGGGGGTGTGGGGTAGACACAGTGCGAGACTGGGGACAGGCAGTAAGCATGGGGGAGCCACTCTTCTCTGCGTATCCAGGAGTCCATAATGATTACAAATAAATGAATGAATGAATGAATGAGGAAGAAAGAACAGCTCTTCCTTTCAGAAAAAAAAATCCAATGAATAAAGATGGAAAGAATAACAGAAACAGAAAATCACCATTAGGAAATACCGCAGTAATAACTGTTGCAAGCGAGAACCATCAAAGGACTCTAAAACTGGCAGGTCAAAGTGTGCTGAGAACATGCACAGTCTCAGACTATCTGCCCACAGGACAGCACTGCCTACAACGGGAAAACAGCCACTTCACGGTGGAGAAGCCTGGAAGACAGCGCCCTGACTGCATGATCGAGGCTGGCATCGCCAGTCACAAGACCCAGCAGCACCGTGTTCCTCCGGAAATGAGAAGGCTTGGGAGGCCTGGCACCACACCTGTGGATTCTGGCCAAAAACGCATGATCTGGATTTAACTGTGGTGAAACACCAGACAAACCCACAGTGAGGGACAGTCTGCAAAATAACTGGCCAGTATTCTTCCACAGTGTCAAGGCCAGGAAAGCCAAAGGCAGATTAAGAAATTGTAGGTTGGGGAACACTACAGAGACTTGAAAACTGCGTGTGCTACAGGATCCTGGATTTGGATGCTGGACGAGAAGAGGGACATTAGTGGGAAAACGGGCAAAATTCAAACTAGGCCTGTGGATTAGGTAACAGTCCCGAACCAGTATTAACTTGCTGTTCAGACAACCGTACTAAGCTTATGCAAGACGTTAACACTAGGCAAAGCTTGGTGAAGGCCGGACGGAAGTCCTCCTAAATTCCTGACAGCTTCTCTAACAAAAAAGATGTTCTAAGAGAGATACTAAAAGTACTGTTAACAAGCGATGAATCCAGGTGCACTTCTCTCACAACTTTCTGGCACATTCACATTTTTTCAAAATAAGAAATTCGAGGAGAAAAGAAAGCAGACATTTTGCTAAATATCTATTTCACAGTCACGGACTGAGTATTCTTAAAAATCTACATGCCCTTTATTCTAGCACCTAAATTACACACACAGCATTTCTAAGGAATGGCAATGATATGAAACAATAAAGAAATTTGCCCAAGATCAAATACCTGAGAAATGTAGGGCCCACTTTAAAGCATTACTCACCTGACTGCTGGCCTGGAGCTGTACCTAACAGACCACACTGCCAAATAATTTAAGTTGATACATTTAATAATGTATCAATGACCTGCTAGATTCCATGATTATTCTACATTTTCAACAGTCCTGTCAAGTTCTATCAGCCTGCAAAAAAAAAAAAGGATGTATTTTTCTAGCTGCCGTAACACAGAATCCACTGCTGCTGTGCAGTCAGGGATGCTCTCCGCTGCACCCTGCTCGGGGCCAGACGGCGAGGGTGCTGCCATCAGCACTGGGCTGCAGTTCCGCCGGAGATGCAGGAGGCTACGCAGGCTCCTTCTATGGAACCAGAGGGAGCAAACGCCAGCCTCACGAGAGAAGTAGCAGGACAGGACTTGAAAAATGCAGGCTGTGAGCAGCCCGTGGCTCTCCTAATAGTAATCTGAGGAAACGCTTCCTTTTCTGACTATAATACTGCTTCACAACATGACAAATGGGACTTTTCAGTCTCAGAAATCAGTTACAGTTAAGAAACAAAGGAGAAGGAAAGGCTTACCCTATTTTATGAAATGAATTCAATAAATGTCAATGTGGATTGATGAAGAGGACAACTTAGAAGGCGACTCACTCATTTTAGTTAGAGGACCTCATAATTGTACAGCTTTAGTAATTAGCTGCCTCCTTGAAGTTATAATAAATACAATTTATAAAAGTTTGGTTCAACTCACCCTATCAGAAATAAATGCACTATATGTAACAAAGAATTACTGGAAAGATGTTATTACAGGAAAGATGAAGGAAAAAAGAAGGTTTACCTCAAGACAACAGCTATAAAAATAATGGAATCTTTTATTTGTCAATCTAGTCAGTTATTCATGCTTGAGATTTAACTGCCACCTTCTAGAAGAAAACCTGTAGGTTTGATTATGACTTTCTAATTCACATACTTAAAAAAGTCAATAAAAATCAACAAACCAGACTTCGAAACAAAAAGCTTTCGTTCTGCAAAAGACACTGTTATTAAAATTAAAAGGCAAGCCACAGACGAGGAAAAAATATTTGCAAATACATATCCCAATGGAAAACTTAACTGAAAGAACTCTTCCTTACCTATTACTAAGAATACAACCCAATTTAAAATTGGACAAAAGATTTCAACAATCATTCCACAGAAGAAGGTACACAAACAGCTGGTAAGCCCCTGCCCAGACCTCAGCATGACAGTCATGAACTTGCTCCTGTACCCTCAGCCTCTCCATCTCTAGCGGCTTCTTTCTTCAGCTCGCAATCATTCTAAAAAACAGACCTTCCTAGACCTTTTCTATTTATAAAGCTGCGAACTGACCTCCACTTCCCACCGTCACTGAACACGTCAAGGATAATCAATGCTCACCGGCACCATTTCAACTACATCTCCCTTCTCAACACTATTTGGCTTTACCACCTTATCACAATGAAATACTCAATAAAGACCTCTGATCACCAAAAACCACTGCTTATTTTCATTCT